TTTTCAAGACGTACACGAGAGAGTGGAGAAATAAAATTTATATAGAAGCTATCGTACATTCCCTGTCTGAGATCTTCGCATAGTAAGTCCACGTTTTCGTCCGTTGGCGAAATGAAATAAACAGCTGGCACGTCCGTGAGAGCTTCTCGTTTGGAGCCAATCAGCCTAGAGAAAAGACATAATTTTTCATATGAAAGTAGCTTTGCAAATACCAGATAGAACACCACACTCACAAGTGCAACGTCACTCCAAGGTCTCGCAGGCTTTTGATAGGTAGCAGTGGAGAAATGACATCTTGGCCAACCTTATCCAACACCAGTATCTTCCACACAGGTTCAGTGACCATGGTATTCGTAATTGGCTGGTTTAAGTTTATGACATTACGTAAGGCAGCTGAAATACGAAAACATTAACGAAAGATGGCTGGAAGCAGCTTATCCAAAGCAAGACATTTTCCACACACTGCGCCGCAGTCGCGCGATGAGAATGTATTTTTGACCCCTCCCCGTGTGCATGGTAGAGTACTTTACTTGTCAAGACCACATTTTCATCATTCTCGCCATCTCCTGACCCGAAATCCTTTCTCTAGTCTGTTCTCTGTGAACAACAGTGGACTTTTGTTGCAGATGAAGTTGGAGTTTACAGCAAAAAGGAAATCAGTGTTTGAACCACTGGCAGTACTTATGGTTAGAATAACTTTGCATGTTCTCCAAAATTTTCTATATCAAGGTATGTGCTCGCAAAAGCTCTCAGACTCAAGCTCCGCTCTGAGTTAGCCTCCTGGACTAGTGGAGTATGGAGTACACAGCTTTCAACCGTCCATCGAAAGAGTGATGCTCGGACTCTGCTCTACGCGGAAGTGAGGCAGGGAATTCAAAGCTCCGCACTCCCCAACAATCGTACAATCCATGATCAGGAGACGCAGCCACATTTGCCAAGTATCGAAGATCACGTCATGCGTTTCGAGGACGACCGCTGGACCAGAGCGATTACCGACTGGATTCCACGGGATGTCAAGCGAACACCTGGACGACCGCCTACGCGATGGTCAGACTTCTTCGTGAAAGCTCTGAACGAATGGTATGAATCATCGTGTCCCTTGAGTACAGAGAACCCACCGGCAACTGTAGCAGTTGCAGGGACGAATGGAGACGTTCACTGGCGCCCGCTCGAGGAACTCGATGATCAACGGGAGCACAGGTGATACAGGTGATAGCACACAGCATTATCTTCAAGACTGAACCTTTTCCAGTACAGGCTCAGCTAACTCCTCAGCTTAACTCCTACGGACTGGCGGCCTTGAATATAGGGCCCTGTTCTTCTCTACTACCATTGGACATGTATGAACAGCTTATTATGACTTTTTTGCTGGAAGAAAGTGCCCGATTAGAAAACGAATTTCCGTAGTTCCACTAGGATCTTTTACCTTAAAGTACACAAGGAGTAAGCCCTAGATAAGGCTTTCAGCTAATCGCCTGATGGAATGTGTTGGATATGGGACTGTTCAACCGCCTTTGGAGACAATGAACGAGAACGATGGATTCATCGGACCTTCAGCCAAATTGGTTTACCAGAACAATGTGCGATCAACAGTATAAGAAATTGCTTTTCCTTCAGAGTTCAAGAAATACTGAAGCAGGATGTGAGCTTGATGAACGACCCATGTTTTGCAACCCCGTTTTGTCCTGTTTCATGACTACAGTTTAGAAAAGCCTAAATCTTTACTAGAGCAGAGCGTTCCTTGTCAAAGAATAGATGTCGCTGGCATGTTGTCCGTCTACAGTTTATAAAATCAGATGTTTCTGTAGGCTTAACCGTTACAGCATGCATTTCTTTTCACTTCACTAAGAATATGCAACGATAACACAACCTCATGAATTGAGAATCTGCTATAATCTAAACATAAAAGGGCCTTACACTGTGAAAAGTGGTCATGTAAATGTAAAGAGAAAATAACTCTAATAGAAAGGAAAATAGGGATCAAATTTAAATGAGTGTAGAAAACGACACTTACCAATTTGCCTGGATCGAATCGTATCCAGCTGGGTTCCTTCATATGGGTAGCTCATTGTTCAACGACGAACTGCAAGAACAACAGCACAGATAACTATTAAATTCTTAAAAATTTTGTATATCTTTCAATTGTGGCCACGTCGAAGACGAAACACGTCAAGCAGGCGTGATTGGCGCAGATTGCGTGCGTAGAGTTCAAACAGATCTGGCAATTTCGGTCGTCGAGCAACTCAGTTCACTTCGCATTTTTTCCTTGTATGATCTATTCTTGGAACTATTCATTGGGTTCAGTGGTTGGAACAAAGATTATTTTCCCCTCCACCCCTATCCTGCGTCCAGCAAAGTTGGTCTTCCTTAATAGTGTCGGCTGCTTTACCAACCATAACGACTGAGTAGATACGAGGAAAGTGGAGTGTGGTTTTCAGGACGTCCATGAGTTATGATCAAGTTGAAATCAACTAGTTAATCGTTCCTTATAAATCAGCGACCTGAAATTCGACAATAAAATTCAGATACGTTCTAGTCGGCCCCACAAGGCGTCCGCATGTTACCAGTAAATACACGGAAGCGGTAGCCGGTGTAATTGCACACATTCAGGCGATTACCGTAACCCCAATTGTCTTGCATCTCGCCATGAACGTTATACTGTGGTGCGAGGATGTAGCCGTTGGTATATTAGACTATTAATGGGTTTCTTTACCAAGATACTGTCAAAGAAACATTCGCCGATACGCTAAACATCCTACTAATTCTACTCGGTAACTGGTACGGCTCTTCCCGTCTCTTATCGGAAGAATTGACGAATTGAAGAAATAAAAATTGTAGCATTGATGAAACGAATTAATCGCATTAGTTCGAAGACGTACAGGTTCGGGAGTAGATCGAAAAATGACCAATGCTTCTCGTCACTCTGCAATTTTTGGGACAATTTATGCTAAGTTTTCGAAGTTGGAGTTCCCGTCTTCGATTTGTGTAAAGTAGGTCTCCAGGCGTAGTTCGACTTCCTGAACATGAAATTACATCCATAATCAATCACCCAGGGACCACTAGCTTAATCAACGTGGCCAGCGAACACTAGCTATCTTTGAAGTAGCGAACTCCAGCGTGCAAGGGGGTCCAGGAGTGGGGATTATGGCAGGTTAGCACAGCTGGTTGGGCATCCGATATTGCGGTGCGTGCTACGGCACCTCAAAGCTGCCCTACACCTTACATCAAGCCAGCTTAATTCTAAGCTTTGGCAGTTGTACGGTGCGGTCGTGCACAACGCATTTTCATGATGTCTCCTCAAATATCCCTATTCATGACTCCTAGACTAGACGGCGGTGGACGCGGGCGTTCGCTACATTGAGATCTTGATCCCTAGCCGCTGACGCTGCCTTTCGCTCGAAACGAAAGGTTGGTGGCTTCCTTTCCGAGCGAGAAGCAAAGCAGCACCTGAATGGGTGTCTGCGGTAGTGATCTTTCTCTTCACTGGGACAGAGATATAGCCGCGTGGAAAGAACGTTTGGCCGTGAATCAGACCCCGCATTACAAAAGGGAAAATCGCATCCAAACTGAGAACCACAGAGGAAATCGAGACCTCGCAAGATGAGGAAGGCGCCGTTAGACTGTAGGTCTGTTCCAGCCGCTGATACCTCATAGTAGCGGAGGAAAATTCAAATGCCTTCTTCAGTTCAATATACAAAATGGATTGGAATGAAAATCATGTATAATCCTCCAAGAACGAACAGTGCGCAACGATACAGGTGCTGAAAGACAAGTAGGATACCCTACGATGTGTCATGAATTGAAACGGACCTGATATCAGACAACTTGTTGTAAAATAAAAAACAATACTCTTCGTTAGTGACGTAGCTGTCCGCAGCAGGAAACGCCAAACTTCGCGGCGTCTTCTACCAAAGGAAGAGCATTGAAGTGATTTCTTAGAATTTTTAGTCGTAGCGATCCATTTTAATATTTAAGCCGTACACTATGTTTTGGTGATTAATTTGCCTACCGTACCGTTGACCAACCTATGGCACCTCAGTTTTGCTCTCATGGTCTGTGAATGCAAAACAGTTTTTTTGGGATTACTGGAAATGCTTGCGGCTCTGGTCGCTGCAATTCACACGGCTACTCTCTTCGTAAAAGTTTTTAACGATAACATCAAATGAGCGGCCCAGCGTGCTATCTACAGCGCATAATTGTCGCTGCGTTCTTCCTGCTTAATTTTGCAAGCTATGCGGTCATATATTGCAGTAATGAGACTATAAAGAATCAGAAATTTAGCGTTGTTTTTTAGGACAATATAGTTTTGCTTTTGGGTTTTTTTTTTTTTCAATTTTGTGGAGCGGTTTATAAGCGGATCGTGTACAGCGATTTGAGTGAGGGGTGAAAATCTTACGTGAGCTGTACTTTTTTTTCGTGCGGAAACGTGTGCTGCGTGGCTTTATTGAAGCTGGCCATTCGTCAGGGTTCAGCCGTCTTGGGTTCCGTGTTATGGTTCCGGAGCAGGCAAAGCCTTTTTTTCAGGTGCGAAACTGCTTTCTGTGCACCTGAATGGTACTTGGCTTACAGGGGCTTTAGAGTAGAGCATCGGCAAGCTGCAAGTACAATATTTATTTTTTTTTTATACAAATTGGAGGATAGAGGATGAAGCTTTCAGCGTTGACGAATCCCTTTTTGGGGTGATGTGACCTATACAATACCACCGATGGCCAGCCCACATAGGACTCCGTTTTTATTTTCCAGAAAGGGTTTGGTAATTCCACCTGTCGTGCAGGGTTAGAAAGCTTGTTTGGCTTGGGCGGTAACTTATTCGGTGCTTTGAACTTGGGACATTGCGTGATAAACTGCCACTTGCCATTGCACCATTTCCTCCCTTTACATATTTGTATTGTTTTACATTTATTGAGATGAATAGCCCAGCAAATTGACTGCGTGGAGCGGTCTTGTGCGATACAATGGAACTTTTCGTCGTAAGCGCAGGGGCCATTCTGAAGTTTTGAAAGCAGCGACTCTCGGATGTTGTACAGCTTGATGATGAGCGATTCATTTGTTGTTCTCCATATGCAGAACACCTGAAAGAGAGCAATTTAGAGACTAGAGAAGAAGCCTGGCATAACAAATGTGGAAAGAGGCAGATAACAAGGAAGTACGATTGGCCGCAGACAAGCGGTCACCATAAATTAGTTAAACGATGAGACAATTTTGCACGGTCGGACCTTTCCTGATCGCAGGAGCGCATTGCTTCCGCAGAGTAAGCTTTACCTAGAAGTTACACCTTCCCAACCCCTATGCATGGGAGCCGTATGCATGGTTCGTTACAGAGGTGATGCCAAGTCGGCGGCGAAGTGGATACTTTCTGATAACCTTGGCGAAAATATGCGTTCTAGAAGCATACCAAAGTCTTTAAACCAACTGGAAAGGTGGGTTTTCCGTGTCGTGCGAAAATGGGTCACGACGACACCACGGGGAATTTTTTCGAGTAATCTTCCAGATTCCAGCACTGTTTTTGTTCTACAAATGACCTCGTATGAAGATTGTTATAGCTGTTCAAAGCGTGAGAACCGCTAAAATGTCATAACGGGATAACGACGGGTAAAGTTCCTTGAAAAGGTGCTCAAAATCGCTTAAACTCAGGCAATAAGTGCCAATCTTGTGCTTCACAGCCCTGCTTTCCTTTCTTTGAAAACTCCACTCTCAAAGAAGTCAAGAGTGTTCAAGCGAAGTATACTTTCGCAGTGCTTGGCTTGGAATTGAATTGGCACCGTGAAATAGCTCGCTCCAATACCACGGCACAAAGTGTGCTCCAACTACAACTTTGGATGCTAGCCGCGAACAACTGATATTCAAGTGCTGGCACAAGCATTTTCAGCTCTTTTTTTTCCTTTTTAGTGTCTTATTATAATCAGTTTTGATCTTCTGCACCCTCTTTTTTGATGATGTAATTTTTACCCTCGCTTCTTTCTCTTTGTCGTTCATTTTTGTTTTCGAAAATCGTTTATCTGCTAAACCGTATGAACAGTTAAGTGCTGTAGATTCATGCCACATAAAGGCACCAGCATTGAATTGTTTACCTGATGGCAGATAAACATTTCAGTACTGGTCCCTTTATGTGGCATGAATCCCCCAGCACTTGACTGTTTGTATGGTAGCAGATGAACGATTTTCGCTCGCGAAGTATCGTTTATCGTCTACCAGATAAAGAGCTAGTAAACAATTGGCAATGGCCTAGGGGAGGGGGTCGGATCGAGGTTTTTTCGGGGTCGTATTCAGCAGAAACAAGTACAGCCACCCCCCCCCCCGCCCGTCCAACTACGTTAACGCCCACCTGTAATACTTTGTAGTTATATGAACTATTCGATTTAGATTTTGCCTGGAGAATGACTTATAATAACCCACTCTCACCTTGTATAGGTAACAAACAGCAATGGATTCTGACTTGTATGACGAGTTCGGTAACTACATCGGACCTGAGCTCGGCTCTGACGATGAGGAAAATGAAGACGATGTCCCCCTCGCTGGAGACGCTGATGAAGAAGCAGAAGAGGCTGATGACCAGGTAGTGATAACTGTTTAGGCTTTTGCATCTTGTTTTTGCCTTTCTAGGAGTGGCTTTGCGTGAAAAAAAGTTGATCTTTCCAAT